GACACATTAAACACATAAATAGTTAAGGTTAAATTCATTTGTGTTCTGAATGCCTATTTTACCCTCGTTATTTGAAGGCATTCAGAACATGTAGTCCCTATGGCTATGTCCTAAGTACTTGCAATTTATCTCTAATGGAAAAGCATGATAAAACTATGCACACACAGAAAAAGGAAACCAAAGAGAAAAGTCCTTACAGTTGCAGAGATGTACTGATTCATACTGCACACTTTTTTGTTTTAAATCCTGACAGCAACAGCACTAGAAATGTTGTTTAGAACTTTCCTCAGTGGAGGAATAAGCCTGACATGTTTTAATCTTACACAGGAGCACCATCTTGTATCTGTCTGATTCAACAGCTAGAGAACAGAAAAACAGCAGCAAGTAGAGCCAGGCCATTTTTCAGCAGTACACTGATAGCTCACAGGCTATCTTATTTTTTACAGCATTGAATCCTTTTCATAGAGTGACAGGTGTTTTTAGAGTTAAGGAACCTTTTCAAGGTATCATACAGAAATGGTACATGCTGTGATTTATCACATCACTACCGTAGATGCAGGGATCACTGTTAATTTACTTCTATACACTTAGTTTTAAAAGGTGACAAGGATAGACTCGAGAGGAAATAATTTGCAATCATTACCATTTCAAGAGAACACAGGCCCAATTCTCTTCTCTCACCAAGTTAAATCAACTGGGTCAGACCTTCTGATGCTTAATCTGTTGTAGTTTTGCTGAATTCCACAGAATCAAGCCACTTTACACCAGGAAAATATCTAGCCCCTTGACTTTCAAGTAGTTACTCCTGATTTATACTGCCAAGTGAAGGGAGTCTAGTTCTGTGTGTGCAGAGTTGCTATTTTTGAGAAAAATCACTGCTTAAGATGTGCAATATGTAGGGTAGAAACAGATAGTTACACTTACAAAGCATACAGTAGCATTTGCAAACAAATGCATGTTTGCATATGCACTTTTAGAGCAGTTAGTGGTAATCAGATTATTGCAATTGTATAATTTACTAGCACCGTTACCTAATAGAGAGGCACACACTGGAACAGACAGGTATCTATTTTTAAAAGTCTGGCTTAACAAAAACATTCTAAACACAAAACTAGTTATTTTCTCCTTTAGCTAGCTTCCAGTGCCAGGTCTGACATGAGCAGCACACAGCACAATGATGTCAGAGGGGAGGGGAGAGGAGTTATTAATGACCATGGAAATGAGACACTATACAATGAAAATAAGCTACATATGGAAGGCTCTCTTCTACCCTTGATAATGCCTGTATTGCATTAAAGTAATATTTTCAGGTCACCTTTAAATGTAGTATCCAATTCCATCATATTCTATCATATTCTAATGCTAGATTGCTGGATTTACTGTATCATAATCCAAATATTACAGAATATCTGAAGTACCCTCACTACCCTCAGAATTTGGCCTCATTTTCACCAACCAACGAACAATAACACTGATATTATGGGTAGTGTGATAAAGATATACTTTTAATAAATCATACACATGCTTTTTCTTATTTACTTCCAATCTCTTAAGATTCAAAACATTACCAAAACTGACAATTATATATTCAACAAAATGGTATACCTAAGATTATTTGCTCATACTGCTCATACTACACAAAAACGTTAGAACCTACAGAAGCTTTCTTTGTTAGTTTGTATCCTCAAGAGCAGAGCCAATATAGCATGTACATTATACAACTGCTCTTTTCAAAATAAGCTAAATGTGAGAAACAAATAGAAAACGTTTATTTTTAGAGACACCAACCAAAAGCAAAGAAATCAGCAAAGTCATGATGGAGTTTATTCCTGAGCCCTTACAGCAATAAGGTTATCCAGCATGAAGTGCTGCGTACTCTTATTAGGTTCCCGTCTCTCCTTTTTCCAACAAAAAGATATGTTCACTCTTCTCCTATAATTCCTAAAGGACTTCCTTACTATATACTTTAAGCAGTGAAAAGCCTTGCAACATACTTTAGCCATACACGTTCTGGCCACTTCTGAAGCGTGTTCAAGTCTGAGTTGTGAATAAAATATCTGTACCACACATGCTCCAAAGTCTCATGTACACATCCATCCTTCTTGTGAATAAAGAGTAAGTACTCCTGAATAACCTGACCATATTCTGGATTAGTGGATATACTAATTATTATGCTTGTTCCTCTGATATGGTGGTATTGCATTGAAGTGATATATGTGCTGCCAATCTAAATGATGGAATTGCAAGCTTTGATAAAGTTCAATATTAAACATCAGGGAGCATTTTCCTTTTATTCACAGGCTAAATATCTGTAGATTGTGTTTGCAAAAGTGTATCTTTATTCCATCAGTCTCAAATTCTTTGTTAGTTCAAAATTCATATTAGTTCTCATCCTCTAGTTTTACTACTAGCTAAGTGATTTGACGATGGGCAGAAGAGGTCTTAGTGATAAGTTTTTAACTTTAATCATGTGCTTAATCCCTGTTGAAGTTAAATATGTGCTTAGGTACTTTGCCGAATCCAGGGCTTTTTGAGGGACAATCATAAGTTGTTTTCACAAAGGATACCAGATTTTCTGAAGGACATCTGTCCCATTATGCAGCCTGTCAAGTCAAACACATTAAACCTGAAAAGGGTATAACAACAACAAAAAAGCTATCGGTTAAATGCAGTTAGGCAATGGACAGTTTATAATGAAGTCTCTCCACTACAAGTAGTGGTTCTAACTTGTATTGGGAACACTTTGGCTATGTCTACACTGCAGAGCTTTTGTGGGATACCAGAAGTATCCCAGAAAAGCTCTGCTGCATCCAAGGAATGCATCCGCTACTCTCAACAATTTCTGAAAAAGCAAACATGTTTTCGGTATCCCTGTATATTCCTCATTGTATGCAGAGTAAGGGATGTTCCGAAAGAGGATGTTTTTCTGAAATTTCGCCCCCTGATGATGGGCCAAGTTTTGGAAAAGCCTCTTCTGGGGAGGTATGGAGAGGGGGGAGAAAGAAGAGTGGAAAAAGATACGCAAATTGCAGTTCTTAATTGGAGTATCTTTTTCCAATACAGGCAGTCCCCGGGTTACATGGATCCGACTTACATCGGATCCCTACTTACAAACAGGGTGAGGCAACCCCGCACTAGCTGCTTCCCTCCAGCAGACCAGGGAGACGCGAAGCTAGCGCCGCCCCCCAGCAGACCAGGGAGACGTGGAGCGGCTTTTCTCAGCAGACACCTCAGCTTGAGAATAAAGGACTGAGGGAAGTGAGGTGTGGGAGAATAAAACTGAGCTCTGGAGAAATGTTTGGCTAGAGTTTCCCCTACAATATGTACCAGTTCCGACTTACATACAAATTCAACTTAAGAACAAACCTACAGTCCCTATCTTGTACGTAACCCGGGGACTGCCTGTATAACGCTGCAGTCTAGACATAGCCTTTGACTCTGCCAAGAGAAACATGAAAGGGAAAGGTCAGGGTCTGGCCAGTGACTAAAATAACTCCAAAATAATTCCAAAATAAAAACACAGCTCTTATATCTGTACGTACAGTGTCTTGGTCATGTGTTGTAGGACAAAACGAACAGAGTGAAAGGCAGAGTGTGCAGACAGACATCATACTATAACTTCCAACTCTTGATACTTTTCTTGCTTATGTCCTCCCAGCTTTCTGCAGAGTCACTGTCGAAAGTCAGTCAGCCCCTTCAGGTAGCAAGGTACAGAAACAACTGATGTGTCTCAACTCTAGAGTGGCATATAGCATTTTTCCACACTAGAGTTCAAAGGATTTACTTTCAGTCTTATTGGCATCTTTGCAAAATTGCTTTTTTTATAGATGAATACAACTGATGAAGTACATGATGAGGAAATGCATTTCAGGTTGACCAATATATTAATGAGGTTTTCTTAAGTCTTGTTGAAAAAACTTGATGTGTTTCTCTATTCAAGCCTAAAATTATGCCTTTGAAGAAAATACTAATGAATCATTCCTGCAATCATTACTACTGTATTAGGAAAAAGGTGATGGGATTTTTTTTAAAGCATGCATTTCAAAGCTGCCTAAAGGAGTTAGATGTCCAAATTCCACTGAAAGCTTTTGAAAATCCCATTCTCAACATTATCAAAAGAACTATATATTTTTTCCTTTTGCAGACCCCATCCTTTCAAGTTTCTTCTGACCGCCAGCTTTGTATCAGAAAAGGAAAACCAAGAATAGGAGCAATGATGTGAAATAACTACATATATAGTAATTCACTATCATCACCATTTCACCCTCCTTGTCCCATATCAGAGATTTTGCCTAAAAAGCATATTTATCTTTTTTGTGTAAATTAATGTATGGTCATATAATGATGATTTGCCAAATAGTGCTCTTAATTTGCCACTGATCTTTGAAGTCCTAAGACAAATTTTTGTGGAAACTGAGTATGGTTTGAGTGTTTACACACATATGGATTATATGAAATTTTGTACATGCTCTGGGAACATTTTTCAGTGCAGTGTGTAGCAAGATAGATGTGTCCTTATCAGAAGCCATCCAGCTAAATTCCAATGCATGACAATGAAATTCTGCCCCACCTACTATATATAAAGTAATTTATTGCTAGGCCATATATACACCAGACAAGAGTCAGAAAAAGATTTTGGGAAAAAATATTTTTGTCACAGAACCAACTATCAGAGTAATGATTTTATCTGGAATAAAACCGAACACGCGCGCGCGCACACACACGCACACAGAAAATATTAATCTCTCTTCTACCTCCAAGTTTGGAGACCTCTCACTTTCAATATACAAGTAAGCTTGTTTTTTCTATACCAAAAATGTATAGACATTTATTTTCATTGTGTGATGCCTATCATTTCAGATCAATTACTCAGTAATTCCAAATAAGACCTGAAACTGATCTCAGATTAAAGCATTTCTGTCTCTTTCCCATCCCTCCCTCCCACCTCAAGAGACAGACAGACAGCAGGTTATAATCCCCAGTTGCAGATAAAAGCTCACCTTATTACAAAGTCATGGCTGTCAATCTCCTTTCCACATTCACTGTCCAGGAGGATGCCAGAATTGCCCACAACTGCACAAGTTTTAAACCGTCGGTTCTTCATTGGTGAAACTTCAGGAAGGAGGCTATGCAAATCCTGAGAAATGTTCAGGGTGCGACGTCTGTCTAGCACATAGTGAATTACATCTCCTGGCTTGAAGCTGCTTTTAACAACTGAGACATCTCTTTCAGCATCCAAAAATCGAAGAATATTCTTCCTATTTTGAAACACAAACAACATTCATTCCACAGTTAGGCCATCTTTTAAAAATAGGGTTAAAAAACATAACATAGAACAGTGTGAGGTTTCAGAGGGGAAAGCGGAGGTGGGTGACAACCTGGGAAGCAGTGATGATGAGATGGTAGATTTCAGGATCCTGACCAAAGGAAGAAAAGAGAGTAGTAAAATACACACCATGGACTTCAAAAAAGCAGATTTTGACTCCCTCAGATCTGATGGGCAGAATCCTCTGGGATTCTAACATTAAGGGGAAAGGAGTCCAGGACAGCTGGCAGTATTTTAAAGAAGCCTTATTGAAGGCACAGAAAGAAACCATCCCGACGCATAGCAAGAGAGGCAAACATGGTAGGAGACCAGAGAAGCTTACAAAAAGTGGAAACTTGGACAAATGACCAGGGAGGAGTTTAAATGTATAGCTCGAGAATGCCGGGGGGTTATCAGGAAGGCGAAAGCGCAAATGGAATTGCGACTGGCTAAAAATGTGAAGGATAACAAGAAAGGTTTCTACAGGCATGTTAACAAGAAGAAGGTGATCAGAGAAGGTGTAGAGCCCCTACTAGATGAATTAGTTAACCAAGTGACAAATGTGGGGAAAGCTGAAGTACTCAATGCTTTCTTTGCCTCTGTATTCATGGACAAGGTCAGCTCCTGGACTTCTGCGCTAAGTGACACAAGATGGGATGAAGATGGACAGCCCATGGTGGGTAAAGAACAGGTTAGGAGCTATTTAGAAAAGCTAAACGTACACAAATCCATGGGTCCGGACTTAATGCATCGGAGGGTGCTGAGGGAGTTGACAAATGTCATTGAGGAGCCTTTGGCTATTATCTTTGAAAAGTCGTGGCGATCGGGAGAGGTCCTGGATGATTTGAAAAAGGCAAATGTAGTGCCCATCTTCAAAAAAGGGAAGAAGGACGATCCAGGGAACTATAGGCCGGTCAGTCTTACCTCTGTTCCTGGAAAAATCATGGAAGGGATCCTTAAGGAATCCATTTTGAGACACTTGGAAGAGAGGAAAGTGATTAGGAATAGTCAGCATGGATTCACAAAGGGCAAGTCATGACTGACCAATCTGATTAGCTTCTGTGATGAGGTAACTGGCTAGGTGGACATGGGAAAGTCAGTGGATGTTATATACCTTGACTTTAGCAAGGCTTTTGATATGGTCTCCCACAATATTCTTGCCAGCAAGTTAAGGGAATGTGGATTGGATAAATGGACGGTAAGATGGATAGAAAGATGGCTAGAAGGCCGGGCCCAGCGGGTAGTGATCAAGGGCTCGATGTCAGGATGGCAGTCGGTTTCTAGCAGAGTGCCCCAGGGTTCGGTTCTAGGACCAGCTTTGTTTAATATCTTTATTAATGATCTGGATGAGGGGATGGATTGCACCCTCAGCAAGTTTGCGGGTGACGCTAAGCTAGGGGGAGAGGTAGATACGCTTGAGGGCAGAGATTGGGTCCAGAGTGACTTAGACAAATTGGAGGACTGGGCCACAAGAAATCTGATGAGGTTCAACAAGGACAAGTGCAGAGTCCTGCACTTGGGACAGAAGAATCCCAAGTATTGTTACAGGCTGGGGACCAACCAGTTAAGTTGGAGTTCTGCAGAAAAGGACCTGGGGGTTACAGTGGATGAGAAGCTGGATATGAGTCAACAGTGTGCCCTTGTAGCCAAGAAGGCTAATGGCATATTAGGTTGCATTAAGAAGAGCAT